GCTGTTGTTGCTTTCTGCTCCTGTTCAGGGTCTTCACCACGAGGTGAGGAAGTACTGGTGTCAGCCGCACTGCTGCCCTTGTGCAGAACCACACCTTCTGACTGGGGGTTCACCATGGATGTTACGCCGCAGGTGTCGGGTGGCCCACAGTCAGAAGGTGGGCTCTGCTCAAAAGAAGCAGAGCACAGTGGCACGGCAGTACGCCCAGTATTCTTCACTTTGTGCTGCATCCACACACCACCGACAAGTGCAGGAGCACGATCAGGGCGCCGTTTTACTTGAGCGAAAACAGTCACAGCTAGAGCCCTGGTGCATGCCACTGCAGTTATTGGCAGTGAAAGGTACCCATGAGCAGTGTCTGTTTCTGCAACCTTAGGTGTCACTGACATCGCACTCTGACATTGTATGGTAGCAGAATCAGTCTTTCGTAGAACGTCCGACCACATTTCCTTGCATGGAGATGCAGGGGCTACAACAAGCATAGGGTCTGTGGAAAGAGCTGGGAAATTAGTTACATTATTCCAATACTGTGCCAGCCCTTCTGACTGATCACAGCGCTTTTCAGCTTCAATGGAGCGACACCAGGTGTTGTTGGTCTACATGACTTTGTGTGAGCTGATGCCGACCTGATTGCATGCGAGGAGTTCTGCAGTGCTGCCAACATCAGAAGTACATGCCACCGTGGAAAAGTAAGAAGTGTATGAACTGGTCTCCAGATTTGGTAGGCAAATCAATAAGGCTGTGCTCTTTCTGCAATAGATGGCACAATACGTAGTGAGCTGTGCACCAGGGTCTCGCTGGCTTGCCATATGTGTGTATAAGGAAAGCACAGCTGAACCATTGAGGGCAATAAAATGGGTTTGTTGACATTTTTTTCCCTTTGTCGAAGTTCTTGCGATCATCTGCTCATGCTGTGAAAGTAGAAACGATTGTAGGCTGTCACCACAGGCACGGCTGTCATGCACAGATACCTATGCGTGCACACCAGTCACATAAAAATGCCTGAAAAATCAACATACACATTTGTATAATAGGCACCTGCAACATGTATGCCCCACTAGAGGGATGGTTTTGTTCTGTAGCACAATGAAGCTATAGGGAGAGTCAAAGCTGGTTTTTATTTTGCTTTTGTTTTTGAATTGAATATTGGAATTTAGTTTCCGTTATCTAGACGTGTACTCTGCAAACACTGAAAGCGTTACTTACGTACGTCGACAACTGCAGGCTGTGGTACCCGAACTTACTTTTTTAAAAGCCTGTGATGCAGTGGTTTGTGTCGTCTTGAGTTGTAAAATAGTGCCTGTACATCCTCGCAGGACCAGTGGCTTAGATGGACTCACATTACTCACATACTCAAGCAATTTCTGTTAGAAATATATTTTCTAACTTTGCCAATTGTGTCATTGCTTATGTGAGCATGCATGAGGCACCACAGCACAGTACGTCACATCACATAAGCTGTACAGACTGCAGTGAAACAAAACTATGGTTAACTAAGACAGTAAAATACATGCAATACCTAGAGAGGAGCGGTAGCGACATTCTATTAAAAACCTCAGCAGAACCAATTGCTTCACTGCGCTTAACAGCTTGGCATTTAATGCAATGTTTTCTCACATTGGTCGGGTATGCCAGGTAGGGAACTTCACCGGCACAGTGTCCCTTGACAATGTCCCCCTTTGCGGCATGTTCCTCAGGACGTGTTCATTGTAGTGTGTTGTTCATTCTTTGCACAAGCATTTGAGCTCGAAATGTTTTTTGCAGGCAAACTCAGTTGAATGAAGGACCTGATTGATCATGAAGACTGCTCTCCTCCACTTGTCCAGAAGATCACCATCTTTTGTTGCACAAAACAAAGAAAACTTTTTTCTCACACCTTATACCCCAGGGTGTATTGCAGCAGGGTACAAAATGTTTTCTCCCAATTATGAACTGCAGACTGTGACACATTCTTATGAAACCATGCGTTAAATAACTGGGCAGCAACTGATGCTACTTATCATTGAAACCCAACAATTACAGCGAAAGCATGTCACACTCTTTTCACAGTGCTCCCACGCAGTCTTCTTTACATTATCTTTTTGAATATGGTGCCGCCTGCCTTGTTCTTGCATAGCAGACACCCTTTCGTGGAGAGAGCGCTTGTTTGCCAGGCAGTGCTATGAGAGCTTGCACACCAGCTGTAAAACTCACCATAAAATTATCTAAACGAGTGTCACGTTGGCCAATGAGAGCTCTGTAAAGTGCCGCATAAGGTATACAACATGTGCAGAGAGCACGCACAATGCTGTCAGTAGAAGCAACAGCTTGCATTGATGCCGCCGACGTATGACGACGATGTTGCCGACGGCCAATATTAGTGTTTGGAGGAGGCATATAGCTGATACATTTTTTGCATGATTTATAGCTGATACATTCGAACGGCAGTAGTTATTTCGTTAAGTGGTTAGATGCACCAGCCATATTTTGCAGGAACGCCTTGTGGAGGTGTCTGACATACAAACTATACCGCTGAAATAACTAGCTAGCAAATTACCGAACTAGCATGCCACCATACGCGATTCCTTCACAAGAGCTCCAGTCGTGGATATAAATCTTCAAATTTAATAGCACGAAGACCGCCATGCGAAATTGCAGGTCTACGTGAGGTTCCTAAACGATGAACACACTCATTGACTCAGTAGGTCATGTCTACAGTGTTAAAGCAGGCTTTAAATTAAGCGAGCCTTGACATAACCCATACTCATAGTGATAGACTTGCAACTTAAATCGCAAAGTGGAGTGGAAAATGTCTGCCTGAAATTCTAATTTGATTAATTTGATTGATTGATATGTGAGGTTTAACGTCCCAAAACCACCCTATGATTATGAGAGACGCCATAGTAAAGGGTTCCGGAAATTTCTACCACCTGGGGTTCTTTAACGTGCACCCAAATCCGAGCACACGGGCCTGCAACATATATATATATATTACATGACCTTTCACTGTGTTTAAACTTTGCGCACCGGCAAATGAATGTGAAGAATCATTGTGGCTGACAGCGCCAAGACCCATTCATAGAGTATTAGTGGACATGGTGCACTGCGCAGTGATTTATAAGCGCTGTGCCACGTCCTATCGTGTAGCTCGACAAAAGAAATACTGAATGCTGCATGTAACAGCAACGCACGTCCTCGCGTCATGAAAGCATGCATGCAGTTCCAAGTGCATAAAAGGAACGAATTAACACACATGTGAAGAGCAATACGAAAAGCTCTTTCACAGCATGCAGATTATCAACAAAAACGCGTCATACACAAACAGCCTTCTTGTGATTGATTAAACCTAAGAAAGGTAATCATATTTATTTTACCGTTGCTGTTTTACAAATGTGAGTAAAGATATTACAGGAGAAGCATTTCTTCTATCTATCTATCTATCTATCTATCTATCTATCTATCTATCTATCTATCTATCTATCTATCTATCTATCTATCTATCTATCTATCTATCTATCTATCTATCTATCTATCTATCTATCTATCTATCTATCTATCTATCTATCTATCTATCTATCTATCTATCTATCTATCTATCTATCTATCTATCTATCTATCTATCTATCTATCTATCTATCTAGCCGCTCACATCTGGGTTCTCTCGTGATCACCTCCTTAACTTGGCGTGAACCAAAATTAGTATGGGAGGGTTCCATAGTTTGACGAATACGACGCGCCGGTGAAGACATGAATAAGGTCACAATCCTGTCACGCGCGTCGTCAAACACTTCCTGCTGAACAGTGACACATACCCGCGGGCGGGTATGTGCCCCCAGTAATTGACACTGCAGCAGCAGCAGTGCGCA